GCCGGTTGGTCGAAAGATGGGTCTGCTAAATGTTTTGATATATCGCTGGGTAAGTTTTGCCTCTGTAGGCGCTTATGGGGCAGTATCATTTTCCCCAAGACTGTTGGAACCACCAGACATGTAATAAAGATCCGAAGCTCGTCATTGTAAAGTGACAGCAAATGCCCCGAAATTGATCTATTACAGACATGAGACTCTGTCCCAATGGCGGAGGAAACGCCAATTCTTGTTCGGTGCATATAGATTTGATTATGTATGACGATATCTTCACTGATCAGGTTTACTTGTGCACCAGTGTCGCATATCGCGCGCAGCCTTACCATCAGTCCACTATGAGTTACAAAACGTACCTGCGCTGTAGCCAACAAGCTGCAATGGGAATCGACCGCTCCTTGTATCATGGTAGACACGTCTACTTGCTCGAACGGTTCTGACGAAGCAAAAGTACCGGAAACCCCGAGGCTGGTTTCCACTTCGGTTGCTAATTGCTACTGCTCCTCACTCGAACCCGCCTCCACTGTTGCTAGCATCGACACCTGAGGGACCTCATTTTTGGAGTTCATTGATAGCTTGGGGCAAATAATGCTGTTATGAGGTGCCCTGGCGCACCTAGGACAACGACTGGACAAACAGTTACGAGCAGTATGCCCCTTTCGCAAACAATTTTGACACAATCCCAGCTCAAATATCCGTTTAATTTTGTCCTCACGAGTCATGCGACCAATCGCAGGACATCGGTGAAAGGCATGATCTCCTGAGCAACTCAGACAGGGTCTATAGTTAACGGTAGATAAAATGTTCGACTTCATGTGCTGAGGATTGTTTATTCGCTTATCGCTGCCATTGGGGGCAGGCTGTGCTGTATGACTTAATAGACCGCTACTGCGGCGCTCAAGCCAAGAAAAAAAGTCTTTTTGTAAATTTGGGATTCGATCTGTGGGCCTTACCATTTCCCACTGACTACGGGAAACGCTATCTAACCGGGACTCCAGAAAGTTTAAGATAAACAAGTCGCGTTGCTCCTCGGCTCCGAGTTGTCTAGCTACCATACGCATGCTGTTGCGCGTGACGTCCAGCATGTTCCGCAGCAGCGCATGGGTAGCATTTGGCCAAACTGGCAAGTCATAAATTGCTGAACAGTGTGATGCGTGGCACAAATATTCATTGTCATATGCTAAACACAATGTTTTCCAAGCGTCAATGAAGCTATTGTCTCGCTGAGGCCAGTAACCTAATGCTCTAGACGCATCCTCCTTAACACAGCTTTGGAGCCGACGCAGCCGCTGCAGATTCGTGAGATGTGGATTTTGTATCACCTCAGCTACAAATATGTCTCGGAACTGAATCCACTCCCGATGATTTCCGCGAAATATTGGCAGCCGATCTGCCAATGGTAACTCCGCAAATTGGAGTTGTAATGAATGATAATTAGCATGGTTGCACGATGTTGCAGTAGAGGTTGGTTCCATTGCCTTCATTTTCTGGCATAGCTCTGCCCGAACCTTGACGTACACATCTTCAACCTCCTGCTGACGTGCAAGATCATCTGCCTGTTGCAACTCATCGCGCGAGCTCTGTTGCAACTCACGAGATTTCAATTCGAATTTTTCCCAAGCCTTATTTAAAATATCGAGGCGAGTTTTAATGATTTCAACGTTCATGTCGTCAAATGAAGTCGATGCTAACCAGTCTGACTGGCGCTGAATTTGGGATACAGTATAATTTATATCCACTCTCATATTCCTACCCTCTACGACTTCGGAATCTTCCCCTCCCGAATTGTTTATAATTTCTGCCGCATCCTCCACGCTTATTGCCTCCTTCTTTCTGCGCGTTACGGTCTTACGGCCACCACCTGGGAAATTAAAGGATAAAATTGAAAACGCTTAAAGAACCTAACCAGTATTTGTTTTATTCAATAAGTCGCTCTGAAAATATTCGCATAGCACTTCGCCGTGTCCATTAAAGACTATCTAAATATTATTCACCAACAATTCAAAATTGCCTATATAGCCTAGGCATAATACGCTGATATACCTTTCATGAAGGTGCTTTAAGTCGCAAAATCATTGCTCGTCAAATCGCCGTATATTGATAATTATATTTTATTAATAATACCTACATAAGTTGCTTTACAAATGTCTTTAAGTCGCGGATATGTTACGCAGCAAGTCGCAGATGAACTGTTACGTACGTCGAAATTTTACCCCTTAAACCGCACATAAAATCGCTTATATGCTTCACCTTTAGTCGCTGTTGTGTCTAAATTCGCAGAAATTTTCCTATATTTGCATGAAACAAGCCGCAGACATTTTACGCCGAAGTCGCCAATTTATTACTCCGTGAGTCGCATTTGCACCTTTTAATTCGCAGTTGCTTTACCTAAATTCGCTTTTGCATCTAAATTTGCAGTGAGTGCATGCCTATACTCATCGCGGCTCAAGTCGCTGTCAATTTTTACGTTCTTTGATCTAGCCTCAACCAACGTACAAATATACGCACCATTCGCTTTTATTGCTTCTTTTTCATAAGCTATATTTTCCCCGCATCGTTTCTTTCCTTTTGCACCATCCAGTGACCCTCTTGCACGCTTGCTTGCACTTGCTCCTGGGTTACTCAGTTCTGCCTCTTTCAACGCCTTTGCTCCTTCCGGTCTCGGCATGCTTTCAAAATTGTATGTTCTAGAATAAACAATACTATTTATTAGCATTTAATTCTTTTAAATATTTACTCTGCGGCAAGACCATACGCAATCCAAAATAATGAGCTTCAATTAAACAAAACCATTTGCTTGTACGCACATACTCCTACTCGTCAAGAACTGAAAATTTTCAACGATCAAGCTTCTTCACATATGTATCCATGTACATAGAATATGAAATCCTCATAGGAACCTTATGTTTCATTTGCCATGCAGGAACGAGTATAGAAGGAAGAAAACCAAACTCAAATGGCCTTATCTACCTACACACGTATATATGTACATAAATACATACTCGTATGACTGTTCGAACGATACACTAATAAGAACGAATGGAATACCGAAACACTCGCTGAAATTCATATTACACTACGGCCCAAGTGTAAAACCAAACTATAGCAGCAGTATGCACACATACGCATATACATTGTTTCCAAAGCTGCGCCGCTGAGGCGTACCAAACTAAATACGTACATACCAAGGCACATTAAGCAGGTAGTATCAGCAGAGCAAAAACAACATTTGCGTGTATTTTGTTGTTGCTTCTGGTATCGAAAGTGTCAACAACTGTTCTGAATTTTTTCTTCTAAATCAAAGCGTGCTATGTGAAATGCAAAAAATTATAAAAAATAAAAAATTTAAATTGGAAAAAATAAAAATTGATGCAACTTTCTTTCCTAGTAAATTTGTTTGCTTCTCGAAGCATTGATCCATCCANCGCAAGGCATTGTTCACTAACGAGCCTTTGACTGTGAAAAGAGAACATCGAATATTCTATGTTATTTGTATGCAATGCACCGGAATCAGAACCCGCAGCAAATGAGCAAGCATTCTGTTCCCAACAACACAACTATACAATTATACCGAATTCCCATGTACATACATACATTTTGCATGCAAACAGAGCTTCGACACCTGCACGAAATTTCCTTTTATTTCGCTTTTTGGCGGATGTTTTCCTACAAATTGACTGCAAATCCTTATCCCCTTCGGCTCGATGGACCAAAATATGTTCCGCTTTCGGAAATAAAAGACGCTTGCTTATTATTAGGGGAACTTTTATTCACGATTCACAACAACCTTCTGTCCACAACCGCTTCGTTCAACTCTTCAATCGCTACTACTCCATCTCGCTCGAATAAAGCATTTATTTATTTTATTCAAAAAAAGTATATTAGACGTTTAAAAAAAGGTTTGATTATTCTAAATTTTCATCAGAACTTAACTTCAATAGTTCAGCTATTAAATTTTTGCAATTCGAAATTTCGTTTCCATTAAATTTATTAAAAGTTAATTTCAGTTTCTTTATGTCAACAAGGAATTCCAGTTTAGGTTTTGTTAGACCACCATTTGAAATTTGGTCTATCCATGTACATATATGAGTGGAAGATTTTCTCTTCATATTCGGTATAATAATTCCTGCATCTGGGAACAAACGCGTCCGCTTAGAAATACCCGGCTGCGATAGGCAACAAATAAAGTCACTGGTACTAAAATGGTCTTGGCGCACACGTGAAGAGTCTCCTAATGAAGCATTGATACTTCGGAGTTTTAAAATAACGCACAAGTTTGTTGCCCTGGCTCTTGTCAAACACAACATACCGCCCATAATTCCTTTTTATTTTATTATGTATTTAAAATCAGTCGCACAGCTCACAATTGAAAATTTATATTAAAAAAATTAAAATTTTGAATAGTATAGGGTTAATAGTTGACATTTTAGTCGTAGTTCAAAAGAGAGAAATGTCAAAATCACTTCTACCTTGTTATGCCTTGCTTCTGTGTTTGCATAATGGCGTTTTCTGTTCTCGACATAATGTTAGCTTTTTTCCTCAGCCCTTTCACAGCTTTACGTGTTCAGTTCTCAAAATATTGCCCTCCGACTAAGCAAAAGTGCCATACTTTCTGCTAATATAGCCATTTTGCGGGATAAAAAGCAACCTACTGTAAATGTTCCAATATTTATAAGAAGGCAAAATTGTTTAATAGAAAAGAAAACGCCATAAGTTTTTAATTTATCTCTGGTTTTATATTTAAGTAATACAAACACGACTTCTAAAGCTTATGCCCGTATGATACTACGTTTTTTTCTTGTATTTCGAGTGTATTTTACGCTGTATTTTGAAAGAAAGAGAAGGTCACATACAATTTCAGTACTTGTGTAAGCGAGTAAGCTATATACCAAAAAACAAACGAAAAACAAACTAGGTTGTTAAAAACAGTCCGGCCAACTTGTATTTCGTTAGGTTTTTTTGACAGATGGCTGTATTTCGTTAGTTTTTTTACACAGCTGTTTGCATTTTGACATACGAGAGATTTTCTAAGCATACAATGGAAATACAAGTTTTATCTATTGCAACAAATTGTTTGCTAAACGCTGCTGCCTTAATACAGCGTAGGAAAAAGAAAAAGACTAAAAAAAAATATTCTGCGCAATGGCTTTTAAAAAGAGAACTGGAAGGTAAGTTTCGAATTCCACATTATATACACATGTATATAGTTCGTTTTTGTAATTATCAAAAATACTTTTCATAGGATTTAGCCATAAACTGTTAAAGGAAATTGAGTGCGAGGATTCAATCCTTCACAAAAATATCTTAAGAATGACTCCAGCTCAGTTTGCATTCTTATTAGAAAAAGTACGCCCCTATATTAGCAAGCAGGATACAAAATTCAGGAACTGCATAGGAGCTGCGGAACGGCTGCAGCTGACATTGCGATATCTATCCACTGGTAAGATATAATATTTTCTTGGTAATTTTTAGTACCGACATACATATGTATGTACATATTTCCAAAATTAGGTGAAACCCAAAGGTCACTTCAATTGCCGTTCCGAATTCAGCAGTCAACCATTTCCAGAATTTTAAAGGAATCAATTCCCGCAATATATTTGGCGTTAAGGGAGGAGTATTTGAAATTCCCTGCAAGTGAGCAAGATTGGCGTGATATTGCAAAAGACTTTTATCAGATGTGGGGATTCCCGAACTGCATCGGCGCTTTAGATGGTAAACTAACAATTAACACTTTTAAATTCACTCAACTGATGAAACGTCTCAGGAAAGCATTGCAGAATACTGCCAGTGAGGAAAGCAGGATCTACGTATTTCAATTACAAAGGATACCATTCATTTGTATTGATGGCAATCGCTGATGCCCACTATCGTTTTATTTATGCTGATGTCGGTGTTAATGGGAGAGTGGGTGATGCTGGAATTTGGTTGAACTCGGACCTGAAATACGCTATTGAAAAAAATGAAGTACATATACCAGCCCCATGCACGCTCCCTTTCATGTCAACTCCTTCGCCTTTTGTGCTTTTAGCCGATGATGCCTTTTCTCTAAAAGACTACTTAATGAAACCTAACTCTCATCTAAGACTATCACCAAGCGAACTTAAATACAACAACATACTTTCGAGGAACAGGCGCGTTGTTGAAAATGCTTTTGGCATTCTTGCGAACCGTTTTCGAGTTTTATTTTCACCCATCCATCGCGCTCCAGCTGCAGCCATTCAGATTGTATTATCTTGCGTATGTGTGCACAACTTTTTAAGAACAGAAAATGTGAAAAAGAAAACTACGTTTGACGCCATTTCCGAAAGTGAAATAGATGCAATAATAGATAACAACTATACAACAACCGCTTCTGAAAGAAATGCGTCAAAAAGGAGCGCTGAAGAAATAAGAAAAACTTTCGAAAACTATTTTTCTGCGGTAAATTAAAATATCGTTTCATTGTTTAAATAAACCAAAACTTTTCGTGTTGGAAATTTTCCATACTAGTAGAAGCAACAATTGGTTTATTTGGTGATTAAATAAATGAGTACAATGTCTTCAATTTATGTACATACCTACTAGCTAATACCTGCCTACTTAGCGGTGCACCGTGAGTAGTACAAACACTGTTACATTTTTGATTCAATTAGAGCAACCAAATATTTTAATGAAAGTAATAATAAGGTAAAAAAGTGGTAAGAATAATCAAAATACATATTCACTCGGCAAAATAATAACTCTGCCTCCTTTCGTAAAGTTT